ACCCCATAACTTCGGAGCATCCTCCCTAACCGAGCCTGCTTTGCTGCCACACAAAACCCATTAGCGTTTAGAGTCAGAAACCGGAGGCCTAGTAAAAGTTGAGTCTTCCCCAAACTGTCTTCACTTTTATTTACCCTTTTCCTTAGTGCCTTTATCTACAGCTTCCTTTGCTTGGCACAATCCCTGGTACCTTGGTCCCTTGACAATTATAGCCTCGAGTCTCTCCTCCAGAAATCTTATTATTAAAGACTTCTCAGGCTGCCTTTGTGCTGGAATCCGATATTCGAGCTCATTTCTGTGCTCACAAGGTTTCCACCTTGCTCATTTCCATCGTATTTGCTTGACGTACTTCGATTTCCCCCACCACTTCACAGACCTGCACGACAGAATCGCCACGCAGTGCAGGTACGATTTAGTTATCATGAGATTCCACCTCGGCCACATTACCAAACTGAGCCCCAGGCCCATCCCCAATCACATCAGATCGCTCTCTCTCCGTGTGGAAAACATTTCCATTAATACTTTATAGCATATCAAGCGCACTACCCACCAGCGTCCGAATCTGGGCTAATACTGTCCCCATCCTTTATCTCAGGGAGGTGTTCAACCACCCTTTCTTTCAAAGGGGTCCCCACATCCAGCACTGCCTCACTCTCTGTCACTCTTCCTCACGATCCTCATGGGTTTGATGCATTCACCATGCCTTCGAAGCTTTGCTTTCCTCTGATTCTGTTTGCCTGGGTGCAATCATTATGCATTTGCCTATAGTTCCTATACTTTCTAAAATCTCGCGAAACGCTTCATCATGCTTGGATTCCATGTTTGTGCATGGACAACCGCCCATTCGCTGTAGAGGTTATTCAGTTGATGTGCTTACCCCTAGGTCCTTCTGTTTGAGTTAAGTATGCACACTGGCCTCTCGCCTCCATAACAAGCCATCAAAAAAAAAAATGTTAATTACCATGTAAATGTAACTCAAGTTATGCTGAAACGAAACCTTTACGAATGCCATAGTGCAGCCGGTCTTAACCTGGGGTTTGTGACCCCCTGGGGGGTCGTTTGGGGTTTCTCGGGGAGTCACAAAGGGCTCGGGAGAATATAATTTATTTTCATATATTTGAATTAGCCAATTGGGCTTTTACCAGTTTGGTGAGTGGCAGCACTGATCACACGTGTGGTAGTCAGCTACAGTAAACACAACCACAACCAGTCACTCAGTCAGTTCATAGCTACGGTGGGGAATGTCCCTATGCTGCACTTGCTCCGTGACTCTCAAGGCGGTTTCCTGTTTGCACTGTCTGCCAAGAAGCGTATGCACAATGAAGCCTTTCTCAGTACACAAATAACCCGCACATAAAAGAGAGAAGCTCACGACGACGTTTCGGTCCGACTTGGACCATTGACAAAGTCACACGAAACGTCGTCGTAAGCTTCTCTCTTTTATGTGCGGGTTATTTGTGTATCGTTCCAGTCACTGTATTGTGCCTTTTTGTTATTTAAGCCTTTCTCAAGATGAGTTTCACAGCCATCATTCAGAACTCTGTGGTCAAGCCGCAATGTGTAGTTTACACCAAAGTTTTGAGTCACAAGAGTATGAAGCCAGGCAAACTGAAGATCCATTTTCAGTCTTGCCACAGTCATCAGGTGGACAAAAGCTTGGACTTTTTCAGGCAAAAAGAAGCATCTCTGAAGGGCAGTCGTATCTATTCTACTGATTGCTTCGCTCGTCAGAATGAAGCAGCGTTGTAGGCTTCATACAGAATTTCTCTAAAAATCGTTCAGACCAAGAAGCGTCATGCCATTGGCGAGAACCTGATTATGCCTTGCATTCTAGAAGCAACGAAGGTCGTTCTAGGAGAACAGCAGGCAAACAAGTTGAGGGCAATTTTCCTTTCGAATGATACAGTCAGAAGTCGGATCTCGGACATGAGTGAGGATATTCTGCTGCAGGTAGTGGCTACTGTGAGTAGTCCAGTGTATTCATTGCAACTGGACGAGTCAACGGATGTTGCTTCATGTTCCCAACTTCTTGTTTATGTTCGTTACCTTCACAAGGAAGTTTTGAAGGAGTGCTTGTTCTCTGAACCATTGGCCACAACCACTTGTGGAGAAGTTATTTTCAAAATCCTTGAAGTCTTTCTCCTTAAACACGAGCTAGACTGGGAAACACTTGTCGGGGCTCTTTCTATGCCCGGTTGCAAAGCCGGCTTCAAAGTGTTCGTGAAGAACGTCGTTCCGCATGTCTCCTTCACTCACTGTATGATTCATCGGCATGCTTTTGCGATGAAGACTCTTCATCCTGGGCTCCAAGAAATGCTCACAGGCGTTATAAATATTGTGAACCATATCCGAGAGAGCGCAACGACTTCAATAATTTTTAAAGTGCTTTGTGAAGAAATGGATGCCGACTTCTCTGTTCTTCTATTTCACACAGAGGTACGTTGGCTCTCACGTGGCAAGATTCTAAATCGCGTGCTACAACTTCGAGAGGAAATAGCAATGCTGTTGGAACGAGGTCGTACAGCGAAGGAGAATCTTTTTCTTAAAAAGATGCAGGATGACAGTTTTGTAACAAATGTGCCTACTTGGCAGATTTCTTCTCAGAAATGAATTCCCTGAATATTTCACTCCAAGGAAACCTTACAGTGCTGCACACAGCTCGTGACAAAGTGGCAGCGTTCAAGTGTAAGATTCAACTTTACTAGAAAAGAGTTGAGGACGGTGACACAACTTTCTTCACTCAGCGGACGACTCTCCTGGATTCTATGCCAGATGCTGAATGCAGTTTCCGTGAGGAGATCTCAGCTCATCGTTTGGCAGTGAATGACGCCATCGAAAGTTACTTTCCAGGACTGGACGACCGCTGTACCGATGCGTGGATCAACAGACCCTTTCCAGTCAAGGACAGTGCCATCAGTGATACTGATGTTGCTACTAAGGTAGAATTTCTTCAGATCGTGAGGATTCTCAGCTGAAAGTCGACTTTACTGAACAAGAGCTCTCGATATTTTGGGCAAAAATGCAGGACAACTGTCCCATTCTTTCGATGCGTGCCCTGACCATGCTGATCCAGTCCCCGTCAACCTATCGCTTCGAGGTTGGATTCTCAGCAATGGTAACACTGAAAACGAAGCCACCCAATAGGCTTGTGATCGATGCTGACATCAGGTGTTGCCTGTCGAGCACTGCTCCTCGCTTTGATAGACTTATGGCTGCAAAACAATTTCAACCCTCCCACTGAGTGAATGAGAAGTATTTTTTTAGTATGATGTTCAATAGTTCTGTGGAATTTGCAATGTTCTGGCATTTGTAGAGGCTATGTGGAATTACCTGGAGTTTACCTGGAGAGAGTTCCGGGGGTCAACGCCCCCGCGGCCCGGTCTGTGACCAGGCCTCCTGGTGGATCAGAGCCTGATCAACCAGGCTGTTGCTGCTGGCTGCACGCAAACCAACGTACGAGCCACAGCCCGGCTGATCCGGAACTGACTTTAGGTGCTTGTCCAGTGCCAGCTTGAAGACTGCCAGGGGTCTGTTGGTAATCCCCCTTATGTGTGCTGGGAGGCAGTTGAACAGTCTCGGGCCCCTGACACTTATTGTATGGTCTCTTAACGTGGCATTTTCAATAAACCATGGTCTTCCTATCATTTTGTATTTTCTTACCTTTTCACAAGGGTCACCATTTCATAATTTATTATAGGGGTCACGGTAATACCCTGAAAAGTCTCGAGGGGTCATAGGACGAAAAAGGTTAGGAACCACTGCCATAGTGGAATGCTTGACATCATTTGCATTGCCTGGCTGAAGTCTCATGTATGTATGAAAACAGTCAAGTTGTGTTATGGAGCATGACTGGAGAATACTATCGTGTATGATTTAGTGTAACTGGAAAAGGCAAAATTATGTAAGATTAGGTAAGCTCCACTGGAGCTTTTGGTCGTTTGACCGAGGCCTTTCACTGGCTCGCCGGTCGATCCCTATAAAATATAGTTAATAATGCTGTATAGCCCTTGTGGCTTAGCGCTTCTTTTTTATTATAATAATAATAATAGTTAATAATATTTTGACATGATACATAGTTGTACAAAATAACAGTGGTGTTACATAACAAATTGTGTAAAATATAACCAAGAATAACCTACTAAAATAAATTAATTTATTTTCATTTGGGTCCTTGTGTTACGGGTTAATTAAAACGAAAATAAACGTGAAGAATGAAGACAGGAAAGTCATCCTGTGTCATTAGTATTTTAAGTGAACATAGCTTTTGATCTAATCGTATTAAATATCATAGATCATGGTAGCTAAATAATTCTGTTGCACTAATTTTGTTGAGAAAAATACTTGTGATAGGAAAGTCAGTGTGCACTTCTAAAATGAGAGGTACTTTTTATTAGTCACTAGAATATCAGATCGAGGTTATTTATATTCGTTGTATTTTCAGAATGCATCGAGAAGTTTGAGACAATATAAGAGGATATATTAATTTGGTAATTCGTGGTATTTAAACTTTGCGCTTCTTGTCTGAGCAGCCGCAGAACGATGTTTTAGCGCCTCTGGTCCGCAAGGAAAAGTAGTCTCTCTTATATGTGATTCTCATATTAATTACTGTGTAATTACAGTGATTTTCAGTAGCACGATTCAGTTTATATTGTGATATATAGCGTTTTCCATATTGTGACACTTTCTACGGAAGTGATAAACAGTGGTGCCAATCTTTGCTTCTCAACAATTTTGATAACAATATTTGTGTACATATAATATTCTCAGTATTATATTATCTTAGCTTGTACTGGTAATATTCAGTACTACGACTACTATTTTAACAGTCAGTGGAGCTACTATTAACCTACAAGTAAATTGTGGGGATATTTACTGTGATTTTTTTCCTCTTTCAGAATTTTTCTATAGTACAGATATAGTTTACAGATATTGCAGCAAGGCTACAATAGCGAGTGTTGAAGGTGTATTTATAGCTGCAATATCCCCCAAAGGAGTGGTGAGAGAATATAGTGTGTGAGCACCCACGCTGAGGTGAGGTAGCCTCAGATGTGGCAACGGTGTTTAGTAGCAAGTGTAATGGGAGGCAGCGAGACACTCACTCTCGCTTTATTTTAGACCAAATCTCTCTATACACTCAACTTTTTTTTTGACAGAAGAGAGAAAATTCGACGTACCGCATAGGCTGAGAGAGGTAGGTATGGTGTGTGTAGTGTGTGAGGGGGAAGAGTGGCGGGGAGAGCCATAGATGTGGATGTCATGGGCTGGGTGCAGTATGATTCACACACTCGCTCCTTATCACTAGTTTCACTATAGTAAAAGTCAAACTGGAGATCGTGTTCACCTGTGTGGTTGCGAAACTGGTGTGGTGCGTGGGTGTGGGAGTGAGTATTGTGATGAGTAATGAGGGAGAGAACTGGTGGTGGTGTTAGGGGGGGCCAAGTTTGTTTTGGTCAGAGGGTTGATGGGTTGTTTTATTACTTACACACTCACCTCTCATAAACCTCATTTATATACTGCAATTTATTTCTGTGAATACGATTGAAAAAGTATCCAAAATTTAATAGCAAGTGGAAAGAACTTCACAATACATGCTATTCAATTTTGGGTGAACTCTTTCAGTTGCATTCACAGAAAAATCTCAACTTCATGAGAGAGCTTAATGTACAGCTATCTTATTTCCAAGAAAATTATACCTATTATTTTCACTTATAAAACAAAATGTTCAGTTGCAATGTCACATAAGTTTATTTAGCTCCTCATAAGTACTGTTATGAAAATTTAGGTGATCTTAATTGGCTTATCCTTGCTTCAAAACAAAATAATAGCCAAAAATTACACAATTGTTACAAAATTAGTTGGCATTTATTTCATACAGTATGGAAATCCCTTGGTTATATAGAACATTTTGAACAGAAAAACCAAAACTGTAATTTAAGTTAATAATAATAATAATAATAATAATATAATAATAATATACTACTAATAATGTTAAGAGAATAAATATTCCAAATTAATTAGTGTTGCAAACATTTGCATGGAAAACCCTATAGTTATGCAAGGTATTTCAGGTAGTTTATAATAATAATAATATAATTATTTACTACATACACAAGGCCTAGCTGACATCAGTGACACATTACTATATAAAAAGCCCTTTGTTATGCTGAGGATTTTGGGCAAATTAGGTCAGTGCCCCAAGATGCGACCAACACCAGTTGACTAACACCCAGGTACCCATTTTAGTGATGGGTGAACATAGACATGGGAATCATGGCAGGGAATCAGAGACCCTTGCCATGTGAAGCGAGAGCTTTAGCCACCAGGCCACCAGAGCCAAGAGTTAAGTTTGTTACTTGAATGTAATGATTATTTTAAGTCACAAAACTATGTATATCAAAGCAGCAAATGTTATTATGATAAGAGGGCAGTGAAAACTGTATTGGCTGTTTAGTTAAAATAATTTTAAGTTAATTTACATAATTTACCCATTCTATAACTAGTTTACTGTAAGTTTAAGCTTAATCTGCCCAAAAGGCATTGCTCAACAGTGGACTTTTTCCATGTATGATAGAAAAATGTATAATATAAATTTATATAATGCCATGGACAACAAACTTTAGAAATGGCAGGTCGACAGAGCCTTTTATACCGACAGCTGGTGTCCCACAAGGTTCTTGTCTCAGTCCAATTCTGTTCAACATTTATGTGAATGACCTTCCTCAACCAGAGTTTAATGATACAATTGTGACACAGTTTGCAGATGATGCTATTCATGTCATCTCATCAACTCCGGTAACAGGAAAATACAAGTATGAGAGAGTTATAGAAAAAATGAATATTGAACTTCGTCGAACATCTAATTGGGAAAAGAAATGGAGAATTACGACTAATCCTGACAAAGTCCTTGTTAGCACGATAGAATGTTTTGCATCAACAATCGAAGATAAAGGGGGTATCTCCATCAGAGGTACACCTGTAACCATTAGAAACCCTAACAAGATTTTGGGATATGAAATAGACAGGCTGCTCCACTCAACATCTCGTGTAACTAAAAAGATCAACATAGCCAAAGCCGGTCTTAGCAGCCTCTTTCGATTCAATCAAACCCCTCAACGTGTCAAAAACATCTGTATAAATGATAATAAGACCTATACTTGAATACCCTTGTGTCCCAATGTCATTAACAACAAAGACCAACTTGCTACGGTTACAACGGGTCCAGAATAGAGCTCTTGCTTCATTACGGATACCAGGAGGAGAGACAGTGTTAAAATGGCAGATTTACACGTACAACAAGATATTACTGCCATAAATGTACGCCTGGACACCCTGAAAAAGAAACAACTCTATACAATGCAAGAACTATACATGCCAGATAGAGAACATCCTGTACAAGTGGTAAATACCACGGATTATATCATCAATACTCCTCCTCACAGGACTCAAAGAATGACTCTCCCACAGAGGGTCGGTCGTTTTATCCATAAAGATGATTACCATCGACCCATGATATTGAGCAACCAGAACCCTTCTATGTGTACTGAGAAAATCATCGCCCCCAATTAGGGAGACATCTTATATAACAATCTAATGTAAAAATTATGCTATTTACTATGGCTGGACACCACCTGTACGAAGCCATTGTCACATAATTCTATAAACTGGCCAGAAAATTATTGCCTTCATTGTCGCATAAATATCCGTTGTGCAATCGCGAGCAAAAAAAAAAATTGCAACTTGTATAATTACTACCAATTCAGAGTCATGTACTTATATATTTGTTATATCTATGTGACTCTGATGGGTTAGTATTATACCCCTTAACCCTTTGACTGTCGCAACCCCCAATCCTGGGGTGTCTCCTGGTGTCGCAAAATTTAAAAAAAAAATTATTTTTTCTTATGAAATGATAGAGAATCTTTTCCCGATTGTAATGACACCAAAAAAAACGAAATTTGATGGAAAACTGACTGAATTATGCTCTCGCGAAGTTAGCGACCTCGGCACTGTTTACAAATCGGCGATTTTGCCCACTTTGAGCCCTATTTTCGGCTAATTCCATTGTTCCAATCGCCCAAAGTCATAGCTATTTCTCTAGAACTCCATTTTTTCTATCGATTGAGTACAAGAAACTGCCCATTTACCGATTTCAACTACCTAATAATGTGGTCAGAAATTTACAATTTGGCCAATTTCACGAAAACTAAAAAATATGACAATTTCAAAATAAGGTCCAGAATGAACAATGCAGACATTCATGGCTCTAAAATAACATTTTCTTTGCTCATCAGTCATTTCTCCAGGCCCCTCTGATATTACTCTTGCTTTCTATTTTGAATTTTTATTCAAACAAAAAATAGAAGACTTACTATTATGCAGACTACTGCAATACTGTAATAATTGTATAAATAACATCAACCCATTCATGACTGCATATTAGAATAGCTAGTTGGACATTTATTAGACAATGGCATCATTTGTTTACTTTTGAACATTGGCAAAAATCAAACATTTCCCCCACTTTGAGCTCCATTTCTAGGTTCTTTTTATAGTAAAATCAATCAAAATCACCTCTATTTCTATAATACGTTTTCCATTCTATCAAATGAGACCAAGAAAACGAGAATACAACCATAAATACTATACGAAAATAGACCACAAAGTCGGCATTTTAATTAAAAAAAAACTGTCGGAGTTTTTTTTTTCTCAGTATGCACTGCGTGCTCCAGGATTTTTTTTATATGGTGCACACTGACCACACAGACCCATTCTCTCACATGTGGGCCTACCAGCTTTCTCCTGCTTGATTTGAAGCCGCTTGAATTTGAGTATACGTCAAACACGGTGGTTATTAGGTAAGACACCTGTCGGTATTTTATACCATTTTATTATTCAGTCAAACACGGTACCTCGTAAGACGTATATATACGGCCGCGACAGTCAAAGGGTTAAAGAATATCTTATCATTTCACATACACTTTTTAAATTGCACCAAAGTGGTTGGGCCACTTACCTTTATATCCTACCTCTCTTCCCCCTCCCACCCTTTTCCAATATTTCTATCCTTACCCATCCTTCTTCCTTACCCATCTTACCAAAGCTCTGGTCTGGACAATACAATACTGGGGATAACCATGAGTATGAATATTGAGATATGGATAAAGAAGCTGCATTAGACATATTATACTTTCTTATTTGGGCATTCAGCGAACACTAAAGTGTTAACTCATTTCTGTATAAACAATGTATCATGTTGAAATAAGCTTCCATTTGTATATTTGAAGCAGTTGGCAAGCAAGGAATGTTTTGCCTCTTTTGGTAGATAAGTATGTACAAATTTTTGGAACTTTCATTTGCTTGGAGTTTCTCTACTGAGTCACACACATTGAATGGATACATATTTGGGTTTTGTATTGTCTACTATTTCTCTTACAGCACTCCAAGAAGAGTTTGAGCACTGGGTCAACATTTAGTATCCTGTATGTTCAATATGTGCAGTAGTACATGTGGATGTTTTGTGTGTTGAATAAATTTAGTCTTGATAGTAGGGGGGAGGGTGCTATTTTGAACTATATTTAATTTAAAAGTTTAATGTGATTAACCGTTGTAAATCCCATACACATGTACCATAACTTAGGTAAGGATAGTTTAGAGAGTAGAACTGAGCGAGTGATATTGTTTGGGGTACTTTACTACATTAACATATTTTTAGAGGAATGATATATTTTGGATGTTAGTGTTGAGTTTTACAGTTTGGTTTCAAGGTGTATACTAAAGAATTTTCCTATAATCTTGTCTATCAGTTGTGTATTATGTCTTTTATGTTCAACTAAATGATTTTAGCTTTATTCTAAACAAAATGTATTAGCTGTATTAGCTGTGAATTTGTTGGCTGTCATTCAATTAATGTCATTATGAGTTCATAATAATACAAGATATCAATGATAATGTAATAAAGGTTAGAGTTAATCAGTAAATTAAAAATTTTGGGCAGGATAACAGAAAGACAGGGGATATGTATTCATGATTTAAATAATGATTTATCAGTATTGTATAATATGGAAACTTGAATGTAAATAAATTTGTTTTAGAAATTACATAAAATACATGATGGGATCATTTAAGAACTCAATAAACTGTATGCTAGTTTTAGCTTTGATTTGAATATATTATGTTTCAGTTTTTCCAATT